TGGTCTTCAGATACCAGCCCAGCTCTGGCCCTTCTCCCATGTCCCCACTGGGAGTCACAAGGGAACCACTCAGTGGTTTAGGCATTGGCTTTAGATTACGTGTCAGACTTCAGCAGTGAAGGGTGGGGCTGTCAGCAGCTGTGGTTGATCCCCACGGAGTGCAGTTTGCCTGGGTGCTGAGCAGCCCCTGTGCACCCTTTTCCTTCAGGAGGAACGCAGTGGACGCCTTTCGGGTCAATGTTATCCATGCACGGCAGCAGGTGCGCAGCCCCGTCACCAACATCGCTCGCACCAGTTTCTTCCATGTTAAGCGGTCCAACATCTGGCTGGCAGCAGTCACCAAGCAGAATGTCAATGCTGCCATGGTCTTCGAATTCCTCTATAAGATGTGTGACGTAATGGCCGCCTACTTTGGCAAGATCAGCGAGGAGAACATCAAGAACAATTTTGTGCTCATATATGAGCTGCTGGATGGTGAGGCTGATGGGATGGTGGGCCTAGGTGGGGATGAACCTGATGGGGCCTGACGTGGAGGTGGGAGCGGGTCTGAGGCTCCAGTGCCCTCTGAACTTTCTTTCATGACTTTTCTGGTCTTTTGAGCCCTGAGAAGGCCAGTCCAAATCCAGACCTTAAGGCTGCTCTGAAATGGAACACAGAAATAGGCTAGCGAGTAGAGATGGGGGAAGACCAAAAGGTCTTTCAGGGGGCTAGGAGCCTGACTCAGGGGTTTGGTGGCTGGGCCTCTTGCAGTTAAGAACATTTCATTCTCTTACCTTTGTGGTTTGGGCCTTATTTCACTGACTGTCCTCCCAGCTTTCCATCTCAACAGCTGCCTCAGAGCCTGGGGGACGGTGAGGTCTAGTCCCTGGGTGTGTGCTGTTATCTCTGTTCGCCTGTGAGGTATTTAAGTGAACAGAGTCCTTCCACTTTTCCAACATCTCTGTTTTCTAAAGGCTCAGGGCTTCTTGACCTCTCACCCACTGGCCATGTGACTCATCTGCTGACTTTCTCTATTAGAAAAAATCTGACATTTTAATTGTTTTCTCATGAAGCACAAATCCCAGAGTAAATGCTAGAAAGCTGGAAGACTTTGCTGCAGATGATCCCACACTCTTCTGAAGCTGTGCTGGCCCGACCATCCAGGCCAGGGGAGGGATTGGAATAAATGAGCCTTCAGCTTTTTCCATGCACTGATGGTTTCCTTCCTTCTGCAGAGATCCTGGACTTTGGCTACCCACAGAACTCAGAGACAGGCGCACTGAAAACCTTCATCACCCAGCAGGGCATCAAGAGCCAGGTACTCGAATTGTACACCCACAGTCAGGGTAGAGCCCAACCTCCCTTCACCCCAGCTGGCCCCTAAGGCTTGTCGTAGCTGACTCATTAGCCTGCCTCTTACAAGAAGTGCTGGCCTGAGCCTTCTGCTGTGACTGCAGGCCTATTTTGCTCTGTGTGGCCCTCTCCCACCCCAGGAGCAGACTCAGCACCTCTGTTACTGGGAATGCAGCTCAAGCAGTTTTCTTCTGCGCTCGGGGAAGGGGGGTGGCTGCTCTGGTGGCCTGGTGTTCCTCAGCAGGAGAGCGCTTGGGCCCTCCTCTAGGATCCAGGACTCATAGCTTCTCCTCCTTCTTTTCTGCCTGCCTCTTCCCGTCTGTGCTCCCCTACTGCTTCCTGTGGGCACCACAATGGCCCTGTGGCCTCCAGCATCAGGTAAGCTGTTCCCTCAGCTTCCACCCTTGCAGCTTTGCTCCGTTTTCTCCAGGCCCTGCACCGTGGGGCTTGTGGGGGAAGACGAGTTACAGGTGGGGACTAGAAGGGAGGCGGGATGAGAGTAGAGTTGGGAGAGAGACAGGGTGATTGAAGGTGGAGAGGAGGGAGGCCATTGGTGTTTGTCTCTATCCCCCACGCAGACGAAAGAAGAGCAGTCCCAGATCACCAGCCAAGTGACCGGGCAGATTGGCTGGCGGCGGGAGGGCATCAAGTATCGCCGGAACGAGCTCTTCCTGGATGTGCTGGAGAGTGTGAACCTCCTCATGTCTCCACAGGGTGAGGGACCTCTTGTGATGAAGCTGGAGGGGGACCAGGACAGGAGCCTGGTCCTGACTCAGGTGTTCCGGTTTATCTATCACCAGGGCAGGTGCTGAGCGCCCATGTGTCAGGCCGGGTGGTGATGAAGAGCTACCTGAGTGGCATGCCTGAGTGCAAGTTTGGGATGAATGACAAGATTGTCATTGAGAAGCAGGGCAAAGGCACCGCTGATGAAACAAGCAAGAGGTGCCTGAGGCAGGGGAGCTGGTGGGAGAGGGTGGACCTTGGAGGGCTGAGCAGGGCCTGGTGAATCACAAGTTCCTTCTGGGTGTCATTTCTGCAGTAATGCAAACTCTCTCTTCCAAAGGGTTTGCTTGGCTGGTTGCTCTTGACATCTGTCTTAAGAGAGATGAGGGTATTGTCCTGATCCTACTCAGAGAGTAAGCTGCTTTGTTCGGTCCCCAGGACCAAGGCTCTTCTGTACATACTGATGGCCTCTGCCCAGTGTGCCTGAAACTTCTGGGTCCCAAGCAGCAGAGCTCTCCAGATGATGAGCTTGCAAAGTTCCCCCTCATCCCTAACTCTGGGGCAGGGACCCCTGAGTCAGAAAGCTGCATTCCGGCAGCTTTCCATAGACTATAGTGAAAGCCTCGCCCAAGCTCTGGCAGCCTTTGGGGGTGGGATAGCCTCCCAGCCCAACTCTCCTGCCACTCTCCCCTTCTGCTTCTGCTTGCAGTGGGAAGCAATCAATTGCCATTGATGACTGCACCTTCCACCAGTGTGTGCGACTCAGCAAGTTTGACTCTGAACGCAGCATCAGCTTCATCCCGCCAGATGGAGAGTTTGAGCTCATGAGGTGCCACAGGGGTGTGAGGAGGCAGGGGGTGCTGCTGGCTGAGATGGGGGAAAGGGAGGAGGACAGGCTCTACTGTGCCAACCTTGCTTCCCCTCCTTCAAAGGTATCGCACCACCAAGGACATCATCCTTCCTTTCCGGGTGATCCCACTGGTGCGGGAAGTGGGACGCACCAAGCTGGAGGTCAAGGTGGTCATCAAGTCCAACTTCAAGCCCTCACTGCTGGCTCAGAAGATTGAGGTGAGGACAAGGGACTTGGGGAGGAGGAAGCACTTGTCTCCAGGAATAAAGGCAACTGATGTCAGGGCTCAATAGAGCTCTCTGACAGGTGCGTCACTTCTAGGTGAGGATCCCAACCCCACTGAACACAAGTGGGGTACAGGTGATCTGCATGAAGGGGAAGGCCAAGTACAAGGCCAGCGAGAACGCCATCGTGTGGAAGTGAGTCTTTCCTTCATGAGGCCACAGCAGGGCTCGAAATGACTTGGTGTACCCTCTTAAGTTTTACCTTTTATCCTCTGAGAGTGTGTGTTTTGCGGGAGGGTGCCTGTCTGCTTCTCTAGGAGCCTCTGCTTCTGCTGTCACCCCTTATACCTCTGTGTGAGTATGCACAGGCCTGCGCTTGGGTGCATGCACGCATTTATTTATCAAGATGCTTGAACGCTTCCCCATTGGCCCTTGTGACATCTCTGTGAAGTAGACAAAGAGCAGGGAGAGCATGTCCATGTATCTAAGCAGAAACTGCAGCCCAGTGCTAAAGGAATAGCAGACTCAAGGTTCCATAGCAAGTGGTTATCAGAGTCCTCACCACATTTCCTTGTCCTAGCACCTCCCACAAGCTCCTGGGTTCTCTTCCCCCTCCCCTACAAAAGGGCAAACTGCGCCCCCAACCCTTGAAACTCCTCCAAGCTATCACGGGCACTTGCTGCCCATTGCCCCTGTGTTCCCAGGATCAAGCGCATGGCAGGCATGAAGGAATCGCAGATCAGCGCGGAGATTGAGCTTCTGCCCACCAATGACAAGAAGAAATGGGCTCGACCCCCTATTTCCATGAACTTTGAGGTATGGCAGAGGAGGGGCCTTAGAGATCATTCAGATCAACCTCTGCACCTACCAGCTGCAGATGAGGAAACTGAGGCCTAGAGAGAACTGACTTTAATTTATAGATCCATTTCTTCCCCCTTCAGGCCTCTGACTAGAAATTGGTATTCACATGGACAGAAATCTTTGACTTCTTTTGGTTTGACGTTGGGTAATTCTTTGGATAAATTGAGATTGCTTCAATGTTGGATAAAACACAAAGTTTACTTACAGACAGGAAAATGGGCTGACTTTGCTGTGTGCATGTTAGACATATAATTTTCTCCACCTTATTTTTTAAGTCCATAATATTGAGCAGGATAAGTATGTTCTAAGGCAGGTCTTTGGTTGCTGCCTCCTGCTGATCAAAGGAATTGATTCAAGTTATCACAGGCAGGGCTTGACTTCAAACCCAAATGATTGCTAGTTACTCTTGGATATGCTTTCTTCTGTAGTAATCTCTTAGAGGACCCCTCACTACCCCAGCTTCCCCCAGTTTCTTTCAGGACAATCATTCAAATGCCTGTAGTAGAGAGAGATGAGGTAGGGCAGGACTACAGATTTCCCAGAGAGGAACTGTGAGAAGAAGACCACATTCCTAACTGGAGCTGTCCCTTGCCCAGGTGCCATTCGCGCCCTCTGGCCTCAAGGTGCGCTACTTGAAGGTGTTTGAACCGAAGCTGAACTACAGTGACCATGATGTCATCAAATGGGTGCGCTACATTGGCCGCAGCGGCATTTATGAGACCCGCTGCTAGCTGCCTAGTGGCAGCTAGCCCGCCTCCCCACCCACCCTCTTCCACAGGTCCGGGTGCCCCCGGCCACCAGACATCAGTGTCTCCTCCCTCCTGCTTTGCTGCCTTCCCTTTGCACCAGCCCCTGAGTCTAGGTCTGGACCAACCACATAGAGAGCAGGACTGGTGGAGCAGTCCCTGGGCTCCCTGGGCAGGGTGGTTTCTGGGGCTCCTGCTCCTCCATCCGTCTGTCTGCCCTGGCCCAATACCAGGCTCTGAGTTCTGTGACCAAAGCCAGGTGGGCTCCCTCTCCTCCCCTCCCCTGTGGCCACATCTCTGGAGTGGGAGGGTTGGCTGCCCCTCACCTCAGAGCTCCCCCATAGGCCAGTAACAGATCCCCAGCCCTCAATCCCTACTCTGCTTTGGGATAGTGTGAGCTTCATTTTGTACACGTGTGATTTCGTCCAGTTATAAACCCAATAAACTCTATAGAGCGGAGTTGCTGGCTAAGTGTTGATATGGGAGCTACATGGGGAAGGAAACTGGTGGGACTGCTCTTCTGATGTCTTACACTGCTTGCTTTGAATAGAGATTTCTATTCTGAACTCTCCCAAGGCTCTTCCCTTGTCTTGTCTCAATTGTTAGGCTCCTTCATGACCATGCAAGCTCTTATCCTGATGTGTTAGCCCAGGTCTCCTGTCTCTTCTGAGAAGAAAACAGCGTTAAGGGCATGCAGCCCCATCTGGCCCCGGTTCCCTCAGGGTAGAGATTCTTTCCCTAATTCGCCCCCAGCTTTAGGTTGGTATTTTCTAATTAGCAGAGATTAAGCAAGGTTTACTTTCGGTCTTTCAAGCCATCTTGAGAAACTGACTGCCCTTTTAATTCAATCCTCTTCCTAATTACCCAGGCTTCCCTAACCTTGGTGGGTGGGTGGTAAAACCAAAGATGTAAAGCTCCCCAGGCCTTTTTCAAAATTCCTCCCTTCTGTCCCTCCCCCTCTCCAAAGAATCCTGTGGTGGGCTAGTCCCTGACGGGAGTGTTCCATATCCTGCTGGTGTGTTTGAGAAGATAAAATGAGCAGGTTTGCCCTTGCCAGTTTTCCCTTGCTTGGTTTTAGCCTCTTTTTTTGGGGGGGGAGCAAGATTGGCCCCAAGCTAACATCTGCTGCCAATCCTCCTCTTTTTGCTGAGGAAGACTGGCCCTGAGCTAACATCCGTGCCCATCTTCCTCTACTTTATATGTTGGATGCCTACCACAGCATGGCTTGCCAAGTGGTGCGATGTCCGCACGGCAGATCTGAACCATCGAACTCTGGGCCACCGAACCAGAATGTGCGAACTTAACCACTGTGCCGGCCCTGGTTTCAGCCTTTTTAAACCTAAAACATCTAACAGAGAAAATTTCAAACATAAACAGAAGTAGCAAAATATAATGAACCCTCATGTCCCATCATTCAACTTCAGTAATTATCAACTCACGGCCAATTCCTTAATATCACATCCAATCTGTGTTCATACTTAATCCAAGTGCCCTATAAAATTTTGTACAGCTTTCATCTGGATCCAAACAAGTCCATTGCGGCTGGTGAAAGCTCTTAAAACTTATGAACCACAGGTTCTCCCTCAGCTCTTGCAATGTTGAAGAAACCAGATAGTTCTATAGTTCCCCAGTAGGGATATCTCTTTCCCTGTATTTTCTATAAAGTGGTTATTAGATCTAGAGACTTAATAGCTTTACTTTAAATATCGAGATTGATTCCTAACAATGGCAAAAGGAGGAATGGATGATGTACTTTTAGATGCCAATTTTAGAGCCGGGCTGGAAGAATATTCACGTTAAATGTAAAGCAGTAGCATCAATTGGGGAAAATTCCTAACTTCCACCTGAGGGAATCACTAAAAGGAAATAGCTTTTTACAGTCATTTACTGAGATTCAGAGTGCAGTGAAGTCTGCTTTGGGTGTAGGTAGGGAAAAAATGCCAATTAATTTACACAGGCCGTGTTGTGGACCTAGTTTTCACGCCCTTCGGCGGCAGGAGAGGTTGTGCCCAGGATGGTGGAAGGACTGAGTGGGCATGATTCGCAGGAGGTCCGCTGAGCTGTCAAGCGTGACAGGACTGTGCAAGTCGGCGGCGGGCTGGCCACCAGGCTGAGACAAGCCCTTGGGGCCTGGGGACCGGAACAAAACCCGCGGCCGCACAGACCTGTACAGGGGGCTTCTGAGAGCTCAGGGACCGGCGTGAGTCAGCAAAGCTCTCGGCGGGTTCCAAGATGGACCCAGCTGAGCCGCAGACGCGCCGGAAAGGAACGCAGAGAACCCACCAAGGCCAATGTGCCTTCTCAACTGCTTGCCTCTTGGGAGGTTCCCACCTGCCAGACCGTCGGTGTCTCGCGCCCTGATAAACCGCGAACGCCGTCGCCCCCGCAGCCTCTGGGAGCTCCGCTTCCCACAAGGCAGCGAGAACCGCACATGTGGCTAATTTTTCAGCGGAAAAGGCGTTGCGCAAGCGCAGTGAGGACAGCTCCGGCGTAGACGCTGAGCAGCGCTTGCGCACGGTTCCTTCCGCCCCGTTCACCCCGCCCACCGGTTTCGGCCTACTCGGCGCCTTTGTTACGTCACCGCTACGCATGCGCCTTGGAAGCAGGGACGAGCTTTCGGGGAACGGGCAGGGGGCGGGCTTTGGCCGAGGTCTCACGGCGACTGCGCGGACGGGAGCCCGGCTGGAACATGGCGACTTGCGCTGAAATCCTGCGGAGCGAGTTCCCCGAAATTGACGGACAGGTTTTCGACTACGTGACGGGTGAGCCCAACCGAATCAGCGCGCTAGGGAGGCTGAAGTGGAAGTCGTGAAGGGGAAAGACTAAGGGAGGGCAGTTCTGGGGACCGCTGCTAGGCCTCCCTCTGCATGACCTCTCGTCCCGAGGGCTGGTGGGGTCTGGAGCCCGGATTGGGGCCACGGTTCGGGGGTTAAAACTGCTTGTATGTCCATCCTACCCGGTATCTTCCTTATCCTGCCTCGCCGCACCCAGGCGTCTTGCACAGCGGGAGCGCAGACTTCGAGTCTGTGGATGACCTAGTGGAAGCTGTGGGGGAACTGCTGCAAGAAGTGTCCGGGGACAGCAAGGATGACGCGGGCATCAGGGCCGTGTGCCAGCGCATGTACAACACTCTGCGCCTGTATGTGCCTGGGCAGGGGGATTCCTCGGGACGATGGGAGGGCGGGTCGTCGAGAGACAAGACGTGAGGGAGAAAGGTCTGATGGTCGTAGCCTCGACTCCTAACTCGGCGCTTTCTATCCCTACTCTCAAGGGCTGAGCCACAGAGCCAGGGAAACAGCCAGGTGCTACTAGACGCCCCCATCCAGTTGTCAAAGATAACAGAAAACTACGGTGAGAGTGAGGGAAAATTGAATTAGCTGCCCTCTGTCTTTTTCTCAGCCTCCAGCCACCTGCCCCTTGGAGCTCAGAACTCCTGGTACCTCTTTTCCACTGGACAAGGTTGTAGAAGCTAGTTGATATGTTTGCTGAGGGGCAAAAGAGCTCAGTGATGAAGGGAGTAGGGGTTGGAGACTTCTCCAAGTTCTTGATTATGGTAGGGAGTTTATGGGCCTTGGAATTGGGTTCACCCCCCAATTTTGCGACCTATTAACCAACTGCATGATCTTGTAAGAGTTGCTTATCTGCTCCAGTCTCTACCCTTAACCTGTGCAGTATGTGTTTTTGTTTTTATATAAAGTTCAGGGAGGATGATAGCTATCTCCAAGATTGTACGGCTTTTCTTTAAATGTCTTTGTGTCTGGTTCATGTTAGCAGCTCAAAATGTTAGTTTCCCTTCTCTCGGGGGAAGGTGACTGCTTTTCTTATCACTTACAGACTCTGGCGCCAAGCTCCCAGGACTGCTAAAGAGGGAACAGTTCTCGGTGAGGAGGAGAGGAGGAAGAAAGGGAAGGGGCTCTGTCTGTGGTAGGAGTGGGAGTTGACTGTATCTTTCTGGGGGATTTCTGACTATGTCTTTCCCTGAGTCTTTGATTCAGTTCATCATGGGTAAATTGAGAGGGTTAACTTACAGTTTTCCCTAGGGGTTCCTTTCTGAGCCTACAAACTAGGGTGAAATGATTGTGTTTGGACCCTCAGACAGTGAACGCAAAGAAGCTAGAGAAGGCTGAGGCTCGACTGAAGGCAAAGCAGGAGAAGCGCTCAGAGAAGGACACACTCAAGACCAGCAACCCTCTGTGAGTTTGGCAAGAAGGACTGAGAAAAGAGTAGAGCAGTCTCTACTGGGATGGAAAGGTGGTTGGGAGTGCTAAAAGCTATCTGTTTCTCCTTTTAAAAGAGTCTTGGAAGAGGCATCAGCCAGCCAGGCAGGCAGCAGAAAGGAGAGTCGGTTGGAATCATCTGGCAAGAACAAATCCTATGATGTGCGAATTGAGAACTTTGATGTGTCTTTTGGCGATAGGTGAGGGAGTGACGTGGGGGGGGGGGGGGGGTGCATTTTTCTTTTTCCAATTGATGGAGAATTTGGGAAGATGAAGTGGGGCTAAAAATAATGTTAGATTTCTGTTGTTAAACTTCCTGTGCCCTTATCTCTAGAGTACCCTTGTCTTCCTCTTACTGCCCCTGCAGGGTACTGCTGACTGGTGCAGATGTGAACCTGGCATGGGGCCGCCGCTATGGGCTGGTCGGTCGGAATGGGCTGGGGAAGACGACACTGCTAAAGATGCTGGCTACCCGGAGCCTGCGGGTCCCAGCCCACATTTCCCTGCTGCATGTAGAGCAGGAGGTTGCTGGAGATGACACCCCTGCCCTGCAGAGTGTGCTGGAGAGTGACACTGTGCGAGAGGACCTCCTGCGGCGGGAACGGGAGCTCAGCGCCCAGATTGCTGCTGGCAGGTGAGGACTCAGACTAGGAAATAACTAGCAGCAGCTGTCCTTAACACAGTGCCTGCCATACTGTCACAATCCGAAATTCGCATGCCCATCCCAGTAAGCAGTAGATCTTAGAACTTGGCACTGTGGGGCTATAAAGCCCTTGTTCCTTCCACAGTGCTGTGAGCGAGTCCTTTCTATACTCTATTCCTGTCCCAGCAATAAGGCAGCCCGTGGAGTCCCAGTGGTGTCCTAGTGCATCCAGCTGCATACGGTGCTGGACAGCTCCTAGACTGCCGCCCCTCCCCCCCCCCAGGTTCATTGCTCTTCCTCCCATTCCCACCCCAGGGCTGAGGGCTCAGAAGCTGCACAGCTGGCAGAAATCTATGCCAAGTTGGAGGAGATTGAGGCTGACAAGGCACCTGCCAGGTATTTAAAATTCCCTTTCCCTCTGTCAGATTTCACTTTTCCATTTTGCTGTCTATTCCAACCGGGTTCTTCAATTTTTTCATCTGTAGGGCATCAGTCATTCTTGCTGGGCTTGGCTTTACTCCTAAAATGCAGCAGCAGCCCACCCGGTGAGTGGCACTTACATTCTTGGCTCTGAACACTGTTGGCACTGCCCCTGCCTGCCCTGGTGAATACCCACCCCTGATGTGGCTCTGTCTTTCTTTAGGGAGTTCTCAGGTGGCTGGAGGATGAGACTGGCCCTGGCCCGGGCCCTGTTTGCCAGGTGAGTCTCTTGGGCCTGTGTATGGATACTATGGAGGATGGGCCTTGGTTCTTGGGAGATGGCAATGGGTTGCTGACCTGAACCCTCAACCCTTGCATTCTTTCCGTAGGCCAGATCTTCTGCTGTTAGACGGTGAGTTTGAAGTGGGGCACCGTGACTTTTGGGTGGGAAAGGGTGGCAACATCCAAGTTCCTAGTTCTCCAGCGCTTCAATCCCAAATGTGTCCTCCCCTACTTTCCCAGAACCCACAAACATGCTGGATGTAAGGGCCATCCTGTGGCTGGAGAATTACCTGCAGGTGAGTGCCTACAGGTGCTGGAGTAGGTCTGGGAAGGTCTGCCTCCAAGACGCCTTGGGGAGCTGAGAGCTGACTGCCTTCCCAAACTGGGCCTGCCATCCTGTGACCCCCCCCAGACGTGGCCCTCCACAATCCTGGTCGTCTCCCACGACCGCAACTTCCTGAATGCCATAGCCACAGACATCATCCACCTGCATAGCCAGCGGCTAGATGGTTACCGGGGAGACTTTGAGACCTTCATCAAGAGCAAGCAGGAGCGGCTGCTCAACCAGCAGCGTGAATATGAGGCCCAGCAGCAGTATCGCCAGCATATCCAGGTGTGGGAACGGGCAGGTCCCACCCCACAGGTTTTGGAATTGCAGGGAGTGAGGGAGCCTGACCAGGGCCTGCACTCATCACCCACAGGTTTTCATTGACCGGTTTCGCTACAATGCCAACAGAGCCTCTCAAGTGCAGAGTAAACTCAAGATGCTGGAGAAGCTGTGAGTACCAGGTCCTTGACCAGACCCTGACTTCTGTTCTCTCGTTTTGCAGGCCACCCTTTGCCCTCCCCTTCTAGGTCTGCTCTTTTCTAGGAACCAGCTTTAACTTCTTCCTCTGCAGGAAAGCAAACTATTCTGTATGGCTCTTGGAGAGTTAATTTTGCCCCCAGGCCTAGGCAACTACTAATCTACTTTCTGTGTCTATATATTTGCTTATTCTGGACATTTCATATAAATGGAATCATACAACATATAACCTTTTGTGTCTGTTTTCACTAGGCATAATGTTTTCAAGGTTCATCCATGTTGTAGCATGTACCAGTACTTCATTCCTTTTTATGGCCAGATAATATTCCATTTTATGGACATACCACATTTTGTTTATTGATTCATCAGTTGGTGGACGTTTGGATTATTTCGCCTTTTGGGCTCATAGGAATAATGCTGCTATGAACATTTGTGTGCAGGTTTTTGTGTGGACATACGTTTTCTATTCTCTTGAGTATATACCTAGGAGTGAAATTGCTAGGTTACATGATAATTCTATATTTTACTTTTCAACAACTGCCAAACTGTTTTCTAAAGCAGCTGCACTGTGTTATATTCCTACCAGCAGTGTATGAGGGTTCCGGTTTCTCCACATCCTTGCCCATACTTAGCTGTCTTTTTAATTTTAGCTATCCTAGTGGGTGTGAAGTGATAGCTCATTGTGGTTTTGATTTGCATTTCCTTAATGACTAATGATACTGAGCATTAGGGTTTAATCTTGAAGCAGCCTTTCTAGAGGTACTGGTAGTGGGGAAGGTTAAAATCATAAGGCTTGGGATTTTGTGACATTGAAACATATATCACAATATATTAACTGGGAGAACAAAAAGCAACAAAAAAGATAATCCTATTTTCCCAGCATATAGTGAACTAGAAGAAGGTACTCTAAAATAAGAAGGTTATATGGGTGGTGAGAGTACAGGCTTTTTCTAAGTTTTCTCTGAACATATAGTACTTGTGTGATAAGAACAAGAAAGTTATTTTTTAGAGTCATAAATCTCGTCTGTCTCTTCTCTCCTCAGGCCTGAGCTGAAACCCGTGGACAAAGAGTTGGAGGTCGTGATGAAGTGAGTGCTGCCAGAGGGGCAGGTGGGGAAGTTCTTGTTTCTGGCTGCCCTCGTGCTTCTCACCCCCACCTCCTACAGGTTCCCTGATGGCTTTGAGAAGTTCTCACCACCAATTCTCCAACTAGATGAGGTGGATTTCTACTATGACCCTAAGCACGTCATCTTCAGCCGTCTCTCAGTCTCCGCTGATCTTGAGTCCCGCATCTGTGTGGTATGGTTGCTATTTCTCTGTTCTATGAGCTGGGATTCTCCCACCCCAATATGTGGTGTCAGTTGGCCCAGATCCTCAGGCTACAAAGGGAAGAGGTCCACAGGAACAGGAGTCAGGGCCTGGGCCAAGGACTTGGCTGTTCTTATGCTGCCCCATCCTCCAGCCTCACAGGGCTGTTTGCAGAGATGAAAATCCTGGCGTGTGGTATTTTATGAACACTGAGAGCAGGACTTTATCTTAGTGGTCTCGGTTCTGAATTTTCTCAAACCATGCAACAGAGAGGAGAGAGCCTGGGCTTCAGGGTCAGACTTCAGATCCTGCCTCTGCCATTTCCTAGCCTGGTTACTAAGCAGTTTCCTCGTCCTTAAAATGGAGATAACATCTACCTTACTTGGTTAATGGGAGAATTAAATCCCCAGCACTTAGTAGGTACTTAGGTATTGGTTCCCTCTACATCTTTACTACTTCCTTCATTTTTCTCTACACTTCCTTCAAAATATTTTTTTAGTTGTTGAAGGAGTCATCGGGATGACTGGGATGAATGCTCCTCTCCTTCCCTGCTGTGTGCCACACATGTATACTCTTTAACCTTCTCATGTTTCTTCTTACAGGTTGGGGAGAATGGGGCTGGGAAGTCTACCATGCTGAAGCTGCTTATGGGGGACCTGGCACCTGTTCGAGGCATCAGACATGCTCACAGGTAGGGCCCACACCTCACTCACCAACCACCCATGCATGGTGGCTATATTCCTTTATGGTCATTGCCTTCCATCCTTTGTTTCTGCCTGCAGGAATCTGAAGATTGGCTATTTCAGCCAGCACCATGTGGAGCAGCTGGACCTGAATGTCAGTGCTGTGGAATTGCTGGCACGCAAGTTTCCTGGTGCGACAGGGATTTGAGTTGAGGAAAGAGGGCCAGGGCTGATGCCTACAGCTGGGCCTGCCTTGGGGGAGGGTGCTGAGCAGCCCACCTGAATATAGGTGTAAGAACATGGGCATGTGGAGATAGAGCTAGGGGAGGGAGAAGGGAGGGAGTTGGGCCAAGAACCCACAGGATGGGGTGGGGCCTATTCCAGGACGGCCTGAGGAGGAGTATCGTCACCAGCTGGGCCGGTACGGCATCTCTGGAGAACTGGCTGTGCGCCCTGTTGCCAGCTTGTCTGGGGGCCAGAAGAGCCGGGTAGCCTTTGCTCAGATGACCATGCCCTGGTGAGGCCTCATTTTCTAGAGCTCTTGCCCTCCCTCTTCCTCTCTTGCCTAGTAGAAAATGATCCTCTTGCCTTCATATTAGAGGAGTACATTTTCTCCCACCCACCATAATGGCCCATGTTTGTGGGTTCTGCTTCCAGTCCCAACTTCTACATTCTGGATGAACCCACAAACCACCTGGATATGGAGACAATTGAGGCTCTGGGCCGTGCTCTCAACAATTTCAGGGTGAGTCTGCCTTCTCACCACCCACTCCTCCCCAGACCTCAGCACCCCTTGGGGCCCCCCTGAGTGCCTCCTGGTCTCCTGTCTTTCAGGGTGGTGTGATTCTGGTTTCCCATGATGAGCGCTTCATCCGTCTGGTGTGCCGGGAGTTGTGGGTATGCGAAAAAGGCGGCGTCACCCGGGTCGAGGGTGGATTTGACCAGTACCGTGCGCTTCTCCAGGAACAGTTCCGCCGTGAGGGCTTCCTCTAGGGACACCAGCTGAGGACTCTGCCCAGGACATGGACTGGTCTCTCAGACCCCTGGGCCACTACGTAGGCAACCATCTCCAGGCCATGGACTTCCCCTGACTTTGGGGACAGCCTTATTTCCAAATCTCTCCTTTTGACTGGAGCATCTTCTGCACAACCCAGGGAGCCCCTGTAAGAGTCTGTGAGGACTGGTCTTCCAAGGGGAAGGGGTGGGGGGTGCCCTCTGGGGTTATAGATTTCCCCTACTGGCTCAGCTCTGACTGGGCCCTGAGTGGCTGCTATGTAAATTAAACCTCCCGCTGCATCTCCCATGTCTCATCTCTGCTACTCCCTGGCAGGGCTACAGTGTTTGCCCACTGTTCAGGAGTGTGGGCTCCTCACTTGGTGTTTTCCTGTGACGCTTGTATCAGTCACATGGAGGCAACTATGGCAGCACCAGCCTTGTCCCTGGAAGGAGACATCATTAAAGCTGCTGGGGCTCAGAGGTCACCTGCCTGACCTTGCGCTGGGCTGCCTTGGTGAAATGAAGGGCAGTGTATTACATGACTGGTGGTGTTCCCTGTGGTCTGGGATCAACTGGAGGGGTCTCGTGTTCTGCTCTCGCAGCCCCACTGCTTGGGAGAGTGAAATGATTCTGTAACCTGGCCTCAAACTGAGACCAGTGGTTTGCCACCTGCTTTCTCCAGTGGGCTCTGGCCCAGGTTCACCTTCTTCTCTGATCTGGACCCTCAGATGGGGCTGAAGAGAAACCGAGAAAATGTCTTTGTCCTCATTTTGCTTGAGTGGTTTTATGATGTCCTTTATTTTTCCTCTAACCACATGGGACGGGCTGGGGAGGTAGGAAATTGAGAATGAGATCTAATGGGAAGAAATAGAGCACGTTGTTTTCAAATTAAGCAATCTTTAAGAGGGGAGGGTAGATTCTACCTGTTGATTTATAAATATTATTTCTTGAGGACTTAGCTGCTATATGTAATAATTTGCAGAAAACACAAAAATAGAGACATTGCTTTTGCTCTCAATGACAACAGAAAAAGCAGAATCAACAGAAGGTACTTGCTGGCTTCATGGAGAATTGTAGTCACAAAGTTCAACCAAGGAATTTTAACTCAGCTGCTGAGGGTTTTGTGCTACAGGTAGCTGGGGGAGGGATCCCTGTTTGGAGTAAAGGAGAATAAAGACAGGAAGGCTCTGATGTTTTACCACAGAGCAGGCGCCAGTGGACTGATAAAGCTGGCAGAGTGACCACCAACCAGCCAGCCTTCTCAGCCTCCCTCCGCAGAGGGCCGGAGGAGGTGCTCTTCCAGCCGTGTCTGTGGCCACGTGCATTCTCGCACTCCTGAGAGCCTTCTCTCAGCTCCCAGCACTCTTCCAACCTCGGACCTGCAGATGGGCCAGTCGGAGGCCTGTTTGTCAGGCTCTCAGCCCCTTCATCCCCCACTAGCTTGTGAATCTCTTTGAGTTCTCCCAACTCAGAGTCCGTGGGAATGCAGCTGAAGGGTTCCATGACACAGAACCTGCTTCTTTGGAGGTGGTTTTGTGTACAAAGTGCACTGGAGTTGGAGTTGGGTCTAAGATCAGGTCCCAGCTCTATTACTGGCAATAGAAGGGGCCACCAATATTAACTGGGTAACCACAACAAATCACTTAACCTTTCTAACACCTCCTACTTGGTTTCTTTATGGGATTGTTGAGGATTAGCTGATAAGCACATAGTAAGCACTCAGAAAGTGATTCTTGTGTGACTGGTTTGATTTGAAGGACTATCAAAAAGTAAATTTTCTCTGAATAACTCCAGAGGTAGGCAGGTTGGACTCAAAGGGAAGAAAACTAAATAGCTTAGGCTGCCTTCTGAGAGTGAGTTCCCAGTCTCTGGAACCGTTCGGCCCTGCCAGGCTCTAGAGAATGGCTGCCTAGATGGCTCCCAATTCTCTGATTCCATGATAGTGATAGGAAGAGCCTGTATATATGACAATACATACCACTGCGGGCCTTGAGATCATTGGGATGAATGAATTACACCAGCTGAGAAAGACCCTACTATAAGCGTGTAAGATGAACTGTTGGGGTTTAGAGGAGGGGAGTTGGCAGAAGATGGTTGTCTTAAGGGATGGAAAATGTAGGCGATGTCAGCCAGCTCCGTTCCAGAAAGCACAGGGCAGAGAGGAGAGAAATCTGACACAGAAGGGTGGGAAGCCACCTTTGATCACTCCACCCTGCCCATCACAGCAGCCACCCACTTTGTGCTGTAGAGAGTCTAATCCCAACCACAACCATTGGGAAGCTGGTCCTTCCAACCTGCTGATGCTGGAGCTGCGCTGGAGTCAGCCCTTTAAACCAGTCAGGAGCTGCCACATTGAAAGGCGTCAGTCTGCAGGGTCTTCGTCCAACCGATGGCCTCCTGCTGCCCTTAGACCACACTCACCAGTGCCTTCTCAGGCAACTGGCTGGTCTGTGGTGGGAGGCAAGGTGCAAGGGTGCAGAGGGGTCATGATTCCCTCCACACCAGTCTGTAAGGCACTCAAAGATGCCAGTCAGTTATTTCAATGTGGTGTTACTGTCTTGAGATTTGTGGGACATAGGCATTTTGCTAAGTTCTCACTGGTTTCCAGGGAGATTTTAGCAGAGTAGAAGAGGTGCCGTTTGCGTTTACTGGCCATGCCGCAGGCTAGTTTGTCATTTTGGAACCTAACATCCTACTAAGAGCCGCTCCCCAGGTCTGGGTCTGGTCTACACACAGATGCAAACCAAACAAGACCCTCACCAACATCAGAGCACCAGGGCTGTATACCACCCTGAGCATGCAGACCAGATGTTGGAGCCTATGGGAAATCCTGGCCACCCAGTAGCGTGGCTCGAGGCTGTGGAGGGCTTTCACAACCTGGTTGAAGGTCCTCTAGGGGTTCCCAAACCTGGAGTGATGGGCTTCCCTCAACCCCTCCCCACTACAAGTGAGCTTCATCGTACTTTGCTTCCTGCATTATAAGCTGCATGCTATTAAAGACTGTAGTTCCGAGCCAGCCCTGATGGCCTAATGTTTAAAGTTCGGTGCACTCTGCTTCGGTGGCCCAGGTTCAGTTCCCGGGCATGGAACCACTCCACTCATCTGTCAGTAGCTGTGCTGTGGCAGTGGCTCACAAAGAAGAACTAGAAGGACTTAAACTAGAATATACAACTATGTACTGGGGCTTTGGGGAGGGAAAAAAGGCAAAAAACAGGAAGATGGGCAACAGATGTTAGGGCAAATCTTTCCCAGAAAAAAAAAAAAATTGTAGTTCCCACCTTGCCTTGATATCCTTAAAGGCCAGACCACAGCTTACCCGTCTGCATTTTCTGTGCGTGTTGCAGGTTGGGTTCCCTGGGAAGCAGCTTAAAGAGGAAATCGGCATGCAGGGTACTTATTAGGGGGTGGTCCTGGGACCGACACCAGGATCGAGCAGAGGGAGATGTTGAGCAGCAGCGCATCCCCAGTGAGCCTCAGTCAACCCCACATTCCAGAGCTGCAGCGTTGACCTGAGTTGAGGCTGTGGGTCAGGCCTTTTTTCCGCTGAGTTGATCAATCTGTGGATGCTGGCTGCTTGCTACTAGAAGGAGGTGGACCTCTGGAGAGGAAGTTTTCTTCAGTTGAGGCGCTCTCCCTGAAGGGCTGACGGCTGAGGACTTTCTGCCATCAGCACTCTCAGCAGCTGGGACAACAAACCAATCCTTCATTCCTGAAGGGGGATCTGGGTAGCCCATCACAGCATACACTACAGTGCCAGCACATAGTAGGTACTCAATAAAAATGCTTGCTAAATGAATATTTTGGGGAAACTATTTGCGAGAAAGTAGAGAATGACATTGGAAGAGGAGAGAGCAGAGGCCAAGAGACCAGCAAGGAATCCATGACCCAAACCCAGCGCTAAGGATGTGGGGTCAGCACGGCAGAGGTGGAGGGGAGGCTAGGAGGATGGTGTGCAGACTCAGCAAGGGGTTGTGAGCTCTACCCAAACAAGGGGGGACTCCTTGTTCTGAGCCAGAGTCTTGAAATGAAATGAAAGCTTTCGGACAGTAAGAGGTTAAAGGGGGCTTTTGTTGTTTTTAAACCGCTCCTTGTTTCCTTTCGAGACATAATGACAGTTAATATTTATTGAGCTCTTACTGTGTAATAGGCATGTTGTAAGTGCTTTATGTGCAGTAAGTCAGGCCTCACAACCCTGTGAACTGGCAAGTTTACAGATGAGGAAACAGGGAGCTGACATAGTGGGTGGCAGGGCTGGGATTCTGGCCACTTTGGCTCTAGAGGGCAGCTCTTTACTGCCACACGGTTGATCACTCAGCTCCTGATGTGACATGCTCAATAGTCAGTGTGTCAATTCCATCACTTAAAACTCATCCTTCATTTCCTGGGGCAGGGGGTGGGAGGTGAGGGATTGGAACAAGTTCTCACAAGAGAGCAAGCTGATGGGTAGGAGTACCTGACACAGTGGCTGCCACACACTGGGTACTCAGTGAATAGTTCGTTAAATAGATGATTAAAAATGCGTGTGATAGTGGAAAAATCACACACGGATTCGCCCAGCTCTACCACTGACGGCATCTTGGGCAAGTCCACCTCTGCTGAGTAAATTATCCTTATCCTTAAAATGGGCATAACAGTTTGTCTTGCCTGCTGCTTTGGATAGTTGGAAGGATTAAATGAGACAAGAGCCTGTGTAAACTGAAGAAGATTTCTTGTAGACTGTAAAGTGGTGTGGATCCAAAGGGTGTCATTTCACGGGAGGAGGGATGGGGCAGCAGCCTGGGGCCACCTCTGGAGACACACAGACTCGCGCATGCGCACAAAGACGCTCTAGGCCATTATCAACATGATTGTCCTAAGAGAGCCACTCCACAGCCCTTGTCCCCCGAGCTAGGCATCAGAAAGCATGCCTGCAGGAACACAGCGTGAGACTCTGCCTGGCACTCACTGAGCTACATGGGGTAAGGCAGAAATCACCATGCACTTTAAGCCCATTCTAATAATGTGGATAGGTCATGCCCTGTCGGTAATTCTAGGTTTCTGTTTTCTTTATGTTAAGTAAATGTGTGGTTTGAAAGTAATTTCTGCTTTGCTGTATATAGAGAGATCTTTGAAACCCTAAATTAGAATAAATATTTGTCAACCCATGCTTTCATGTTTTTAACAGTGAGGAGTGCTTTCACAAATGTTCTCTTTTGGTCTTGTCTTCTCAATAAGCTTGTGTTAAGTGGCTCCTGCTGAGTTATTCCCATTTTACAGAAGAGGATCTTGAGACAGAAAGATGTTAAGTGTCTTGCTTAGTTTCAGATACCTCTGCCAGTGCAGAGATGGGCAAGAACCAAGGTGTCTCAGTCCCCAGCCTTCTCACATCTCTCCAGATCGGCTGTTCTCAACTTAGTTCCACAGCTATTCATGCAATAGGTGACATTCTCACATCACACGTGCCCCTGAGCTCACCCAGGGTCACGTGCCCTTCCGTCCTTTTAGGGAAGTATTTTGAAG